AATGCTGAAATCCTATTTAATAAAATAAAGTTTAATTAAGAAAAGAAAAAAATACCCAGGGCACCAAAATCTAATGCAGTGACAAGAGGGGACCAAACCATGGGGGGGGGGGGGGAACACAAAAGAAAAAGAAAATCACATAGTAGATTAAAAACAACAACAGCAATGAAAAACCTCTTGTGTCCATGTCTACTTTGGAAATGATCTGTATAAATTGGGTGGGGGGATGAGAGGGAAGGGAAAATAGGAAAAAATGAGGGAGGGTTAACAAGTTCAACAAGAAATGCACTCACTACCTTACTTATGTAACTGTAACCCCTGTATACATCACCTTGATAATGAAATTAAAATAATTTTTTTAAATGAGTAAAAAGGCAAATGGGTAAACTTTTCCAAAAAATAAAAATAAAATTGCTTGATGTGAGCTACAAAAAGCCACATTAAATATACTTTATACTATACTAAAAATTGAAATACATATATGCCATGCAAACACTAAACAAAGGAAATATGGAATGGCTATACTAACATTAAAAATATAGACTTCAGAGCAAAAAAAGACTATCAGAAATAAATAAAATTATAGTGCTATAATAAAGGTTCACTTCATAAGAAGATAAAATAATTGTAAATAAATTTGCATGAAAATACACAAAGAAAACCTTACTGAGATCAAAGGAGAAATAAACGATCCAAAATATGGGGAGAAGCAAGCACTCCTTTCTCATAACCAGTAGACATAAAATGAAGAAAGTTTGGAAGAACTTTGCAACATTTTAAGTAGCAATGTTAAATTTATACTTTTACATTCTAACAATTAAAATATATTCTTTTTAAATATCCATGGATCATTCACAAAAACAGATTTTGTACTAGCTCATAAAGTAAGCCTTAAAGTTAACAATCCAAATGATTTAAAGTATGTTCTCTGAGTACAAAGGAATGACCCAGGAAATACATTACTGAAAGATAGCAGGAAAATCACCCTTGGAACAATGTACTTCTAAGTATTTCCAGGTCAAATAGTAAGATTTAAGGAAAATTAGAAAACATTCTTAAATGAACAAATTATACAGCTTATAAAAATGTCTTACACATGAAGAAATGCTCAACTTCTCTAGCCATAAAAGAAATGCAAATCAAAACAACATTGAGATTCCACCTCACCCCAGCTAGAATGGCTATAATCCAGAAATCTAATAACAACAGATGTTGGAGGGGATGTAGCCAAAAGGGAACCCTACTGCATTGTTGGTGGGAGTGTAAACTTGTTCAACCACATTGGAAAGCAGTATGGAGGTTCCTCAAAAGACTTCACATAGAGCTCCCCTATGACCCAGCAATCTCACTTTTGGGCATTTACTCCAACATGCACAAGCAAGACCACACTAAAGCTACCTGCACAACTATGTTTATTGCAGCATTATTTACCATAGCTAAGATATAGAAACAACCCAGATGCCCCTCAGTAGATGAATGGATCAAGAAAATGTGGTATATTTATACAATGGAATTCTATGCCTCCATAAGAAAGAATGACATTGTCCCATTTATTAAGAAATGGAAAGACTTGGAAAAATTATATGAAGTAAAGTAAGTCAGGCCCAAAGAAACATGGTTTCCCTTATTTGCAATAACTGGTATAAGTCTAGGACAAGCAGAAAAGCTCAAAAGCTATGTACATATGACCATGTAAGATGATGTTAAGTGAAATGAACCCCAAGATAGGGACACAATGTTTTTTTCTTTCTTGCTATTGTTTTTAACTATTTTAAATGTACTGTATGACTTTTTTGTTTCTCTGATATGTTCTTCCCCCACTGTATAACCCCTGTTTTCACTGTATTTTATGTCAGTGCCCTGCATCTTGTATATACATTTTTCTAATTTGGGGAGGGGAAGGGAAATAACAAAATGCTGAAATAAGGATACAGGTTGACCCATTGTAACAATGAGATGTACAAGACACTATGCTGAAAACAAACTTTACAACTCTGGGGTGGAGGGAGGAGTTGGGGAGATGGGGAAAGAAGGGAAGGTAGGGGAAAAAAGGAGGGGGTAACAATGGTTGATAGGAAATGTACTAATTATCTTACTCTTATAACTGTAACCCCTCTGCACCGTATTTTTATAATAAAACATATTAAAAAGGAAAGAAAATGTGGGAGAGAGAGAGAGAGAGAGAGAATGGAATTCTACGCCTCTGTTAGAAAGAATGACACTGCCCCATTTGTTAGGAAATGGAAAGACTTGGAAAAGATTATATTAAGTGAAGTAAGCCAGGCCCAAAGAAACATAGGTCCCATGGTTTCCCTTATTTGCAATAACTAGTATATGTTTAGGACAAACAGAAAAAGTCAAAAGCTATGTACATATGGCCATATAAGATGATGCTAAGGGAAATTAACCCCAAGATAGGGACACAAGAGGTTTTATCTTTCTTGCTGTTGTTTTTAATGTACTATGTGATTTTTTTGTTTCTATTGTATTGTCTTCCCCCATGGTATAACCTCTGTTTTCACTGTATTTGATTCCAGTGCCCTGAATCTTCTATATACATTTTTCTAATTGTGGAGGAAAGAGAAATAACAAAATGCAGAAATAAGGATAGAGGTTGACCCATTGTAGCAATGAGAAGTACAAGGCACTATGTTGAAAATGAACTTTACAACTCTGTGGGGGAGAGGGGAGGGAAGTGTTGGGGAGGTGGGGAGGAAAGGGATGGTAGGGGAAAAACAAAGGAGAGGGTAATAATGCTTGATAGGAAATGTACTCATTACTTACTCATGTAACTTTAACCCCTCTGTACAGTATCTTTACAATAACAATGTATATTTAATTTAAAAAAGTGTCTTAGAAATGAAGCATATCACCAATTGTCTAAGTATCCACCTTAATAAATCCAGAGAGATAAGAAAAAATAATCATAAAGTCAAAGGAGCAAAGTAATAAATATAGGAGAGGAAATTGATGAAATTGAAAATAAGAAAAAACGAGAATATCCATGAAATAAAATGTTCCTTTGGAAAAAAACAATAACATTTCTATCACTTGAAGCAAGAAAAAGAAGAGAAAAGATGTTTCTTACATATTTATAAGATGATTTCTTTGCTGATTTGTATTTCCCCTCCCCACGATATACCCCCTGTTTCCACTGTATTTGATGTTGGTACAATTTGTGGAGGGGAAGGGGAAAAACAAGTTGTTTAAATAGGGATACAGGTAGACCCCTTGCAACAATGAGATGTACAAGATCTTATGTAGAAAAACGAACTTTACAACTTTGGGTGCAGGAGGGGTTGGGGGGTGGGGGGAGCTGGGGAGGGGAAGATGGGAAGGGATGGGAAACAAAGGAGGAGGCAACAAGCTTGATAAAAAAATGTACTCATTACCTTGCCCATGTAATTGTAACCCCTCTGTACTGTATTTTCACAATAAGAAAAGAGAGAAAAGATAAAAACTAATACCTAGAGTGAGAAGAGTTATTACTATACACTTCACAGACATAAAAATGGTAGCAGGAAAATACTTGAAACAAGTCTACACATAAAAATACAACAATGTAGATGAAGCAGATATATTCATTGAAATAAGAATCTAATACAGGGGCTGGGAAGGTGGCTTAGTGGTAGAGCGCTTGCCTTGCATGCATGAGGCCCTGGGTTCAATTCCTCAGCACCAAATAAGAAAAAAGCTGGAAATAGCACTGTGGAGCTGAAGAGCTGAGGGACAGCGCCCAGGCCCAGAGTTCAGGCCCCACGACCGGACCAAAAAAAAAAAATCTAATACAGTTACCCAAAATAAAATAGAAAATTGATAGTTTTATAGTAATTTAAAATTTTTAATAACTAGTTTCAATTAATCTCCAGATCCAAATGATTGTGTAATGTGAATTTGATCCATTTTTTTGTGTTGATCCTGGGGCTTGAACTCAGGGCCTAGGCACTATCCCAGAGCTTCTTTTTGCTCAACGCTAGGGCTCTACCACTTGAACTATACTTCTCACTTGCAGCTTTTGAGATAGTTTAATGGAGATAAGAATCTCACAGATTTTCCTTCCCTGAGCTGGTTTTGAACCACAATCCTCAGATCTCAGCATCCAGGTGTGAGCCACTGCCACCTGGCATTTTTTTACTAATTTTTGAAAGAAAAAATTATGTAAATCTAATATTTTCTTGAATAATAGAATAGGAAGCATTTCTCATGTTACTTTATAAGGTCAGCATGACTCTTATACAAAACTGGAAAAAGTTCAGTAAATAGAAAGGATACAGATACCTTTATCAAAATATTATAAAATCCATATGAAAATATGTTCATCTCCTTATCATGAAGAAATGGATATTACTTCACACTAGGATAACTCTAGTTTAAAAAACAAAAACAAGGACAATAACAAATTTGTGAAAGGATTTAGAGAGGCTGGAGCTCTAACACACTACTGGTGGAAATATGAAAGAGTGTAGCTTTTTAGAAAATAGCATGACAATTCATCAAGAAGCTAAAAATAAATTTATTATGTCACCTTGCAATTCGACGACTAAGTATAAACACAAGAAAAATATCAACATGTGGACAAAAATTTATCCACTAATGTTTACAGCAGTAGCATTGAGAATCTAATGTAAAACAGACATACTATATCCTTGAACATATAATATTTTAGAAATATATCTTAAATGAATCTTAAATATAACATTTAAATGAACAAAATGGTAAAAGTAATATACATTAAGTCATCTAAGAAACAATTCTGTAAATATATAGGTTTGCAGTTCTGGGTATTACTCTAACTTTACAGAGAGGGAATAGGAGGTCACCTTGTCTATGAAATGAATCAGACCTTCAGCTGCTTCCACATGGCTTCTGCATTACATTGAACAACCCACACAGAAAAGCCAGTGGTGACACAGCCTGTAGGTTCTAGATTTCCTTCACAGATCATGGAACCTCGGTCCCACTGTAGCTACAATATCCTCATAGGGAGCACTCTGGCTCACCTCAATCGCCTGCTCTTTTTTTAGTTCAAGAAAGCTATAAAATGCAGCAGCTGCTTGTTTTCGGCTACTGTTCTTGCAGAGCTCCATCAGACTAAAGGACTCCTTTCCCATCTTATTGGATTTCTGGGAAAATAATTGGAAAAAGAAGAAATGAAAGGGAAGTAAAGTCATTAGAAGGAAAGTAGGTTCTGGATGCATAGCAAACAATGTATTGGCATTTATAAAAAGTGACTTACTATATGATGCACACAAATACACAAATGACTAACAAAGTTATAAAACGGCCATTGGTCACAGGATAAATGTGGTTCATTGAGAAAATGCAGAGAAATTCAAAAATGGTATATAAATTTAAAGTGTGTTATTCAAATGCTAGGGCTTTTTAAAAAAATGCTTCTATGGAACATACAAAAGTCAGGAAACTGAAGCATTCAAGTGACATGAGTAGTGTGAAACCAGAATTCCTTGAGAGTGAACCTGAGAGAGAATTAGAGCCAAAAAAGTATCCTCTGTATTTGGGGGTGGGGGAGGGCTTCAAATACTTGAAAATGATCAACCTATGGGGTTTCTTAGCCTTAAAGCAACCTAGGAGTGGCCATGACTACAAAATAACTCTAAGAGTAAATGTAGAAGTCCACTTAAACTTCAGTGGTAGAGGATTGTGACTATATCTCTCCATTTTTTTATAATGATTATAGAGCATTATAATGATTATAATAATCATAGAGCATTTGCATACCTACTGGGAATTACATTCAGATGTAATAAAGTATTTAATAATAGATGAAAATAATTCCCTTAATGAAGTCTGAGAGTTGGAATATGATTCTTACATTTCTGCTTTTTAGTTAGAACTATGGTAATATATACAGGCTAGTATCCATATGCTTATCAAAAAAAAACTTTTATAAATATCATTGCAAGTTTTTAACAGAATGTAACACCTAACCAATTAATAAGTGAAATATTCCACTGTGCTTTATTTTAACCAAAGATCTGGCCTAGGAGCATCAGCCTTTAGAGGTAACATAGCCAACCTTCATTTATTTTATTCTCTTGAGAGATAAATGAGGTTTGGGGTGGCTTTTTCCTTTAGGGGCAGACCTGTTAGTTTAAAATATTCTTGGAACAACTCTTGGTAGATTATTTTGGAAGATTTACCTATGTGCTTATTTCTGTTCCCTTCACAAATCTGTATTGAAGGTAAAAGAATAAAAAGTTGATTAAAGGGATGAGGGCCTAAAAAAGAAAGGAAAGGAAGAAAGACAGAAGTGACTTAGAGTAGAGGAAGTTGAAACCTATTTATCAACAGGGAGGAAAGGAGGAAAAGCAAGCTAATTTGTGCTGTAGACCCTTGGGAAAAGTCAGGACACTGAGGCACTAGTGTCCGGGGTAAGATGAGGGGGGACACTGAAAACAGAGTTCCATGAGAGTGCACTTGGGAGGAGGTAGACCCTCTGTCCACTCCACAGTCTCACAGAACCAGAGACCACTAGGCACACAACAGGAGGTGAAATGGCTTCTATCTGGAGATGCCACTGAGGTTCTGGCCTTGAAACACCAACACTGTCTATGGGGAATGAGAGGGATCAGACCACAAGCAGGGATTAAAGCACATCCCACACCTGCTCAACGACAGAACCAACCTCTACCTTGCTTCCTGGTACATTCCAAACCATTGCCATCATGCTTCTATTTCCTAGGCAGTAGGTTTAATGACTGCTGTGATTGCCCTACCCATGTGTATAGAACTTCCAGATCAGTGTGTTGTTGTCTCACACTTAAATAAAAACAGATAATGAACGATCCATGAGACATTTGGGTAAAATCTGTCATCTTAAGGAACAAATATGAATGGATTCAAGAGGAGCACTGTGGAGAGAGTTGCAGAAAGCAGAAGGAATTTGTAACCTTCTGGGAAGTGATAAGGATGATAGAGAGTGAAAGCAGAATCAATGGGTGCTTGAGGATAAGTGGCGTTGCATCATGGGAAGGACAGGCAAGGGACAAAGGAAACTTGAGATTGACTGCACTAATAGTTCCACAGGTATATACATAAGTCAGAATTTACCTAATCTATTATTCTGTATTTAAACATGTACAGTTTATTGTATGTTAGTCATACCTCAGTCACATATGAAAACATTTAAAACTTAAGCATCTTACCCGTAATGTATTTAACATCTTATGTGCTCTGTGATTAGATCTCTCTGCCTCATTGTTTGGTTTATGGGGCCATGACTCCTGCTGAATGATTGACAAAAGTAAATCAATTCATACTATTTGCAAAACTCAGTATCAGCTGCTGCATGAAGCACCACTATAACGCCAAATTCTGCCAAGTAAAGGACTTATACTCTCATAATGGGGAGGACAAAACTAATACATCAATTTATACTCATTTGTATCTATACTATCCGTACTAATGAGAGGACCCAAACAGGACATTCTGCCCTCTTTATTGGTAATGCATCTCACAGCATGTGCCTTATTGTACTCCAAAAAGTAAACTCAGCAAGGACCACTTTCAGGCAGGACTCTCCTAGTCTTGGTTAATATAACTCAGCTGACAAGAGTAAATATAAACGTATGAAAAGACTGCATTGTAAATCATAGCCATATAAAAGTTCTAAAAGTAATTGGTGAGTACTGATTTGTTACAACTAGTTTATGAAACTTTCAGATTAGAAGAGTTCCTCCTTATCAAAAAAATAAAATAAAATAAAATACACTCACTACCTGTCTGTCCAGTGAGCTATCTCAATACGTTCATTCTTTTCAGTCTTTAAACCTTAACCACTTTGACAAATACCTCACTCAACATGGAAAATTGCAAAGTTGAAATCCCTTTATAAGAAACAACTCCAGTCAACAGAAAAAGCATAAGAAAGGTATTGATTGATCTGATAAAAAAAAAAAAGCACAGGCCAGCTGGGCCTGTAATCATTAACTACTTGAGAAGCTGAGATCTGAAGATTGAAGTTTGAAGCCAGCCTGAGCAGGAAAGTCCATGAGACTCTTATCTCTAATTAACCACCAAAAGCCAGAAGTGGAACCATGCCTCAAGTGGTAGAGCAGTAGCTTTGCGCAAAAAAGCTCAGGAATAGCCCCCAGACCCAGAGTTCAAGCACCAGGACCGACAAAAATGCCCTGGCCACCAAGGCTTGGGAACAGAGAAATGGTGAAGATTTGGTCATTTTACCCAGGCTGGCTCTGACCACAACATTTAGTAGCATTTGTATCAACCTTATCAAATGTGCCCACTGTTTGTCTAGTTTCATACATAGCTCTGGAGCCCCGCTATTTCTTCAGAGTATTTTTGATTTGATGGAATCCAACATGGATTCACAGAGTTCCAGAATGTTCTGTCTGACATTTTAAAGCACTTGGGCTACAAACACACTTTGAAGAGTCCCAAGAACTACTGAGTCCCCATTCTTACCAACTGTGCTGGCTTCCTTGTTGTGCCCAGGCTCTATCACTTCTTACACCCCCAACTATATTGATTTGAAAATGTTTTCTGTTTTTCTGAGTTTTCCAAATCTCTCAAACCTCAAGTTACTTTTAGTCCCTTTTAGGTCTGTTCTCAGGTAAAGTATTTCAGTCACTTACTAATGTTCATTGCTAAATAATATTAGATTATTTTTCTGAAATATAAAATGTTCCTTGCAAAAGATCCACAAAAACATAGCTTCATTCAAAACACATGACTAAACTAAGAGAAAAGGCAGCTCAGAATAATAACCTGAGGGCTGGGAAGATGGCTCAGTGGTAGAGGGCTTGCCTTGCATGCATGAGGCCTTGGGTTCAATCGAACCTCAGCACCACATAAGCAGAAAAAAAGGCCAGAAGTGACGCTATGGCTTAAGTGGTAGAGTACTCTCCTTGAGCTGAAGAGCTGAGGGAGAGTGCCCAGGCCCAGAGTTCAGGCCCCACAACCGGACCAAAAAAAAAAAGAATAATAACCTGAACATTTTGCGAAAGCCAGTCAATTTGATATTTCTCACACTATACAATAGCATCCTTATTGTGGGAATCCCAGTGGGTTGTGAAAATGGTTGAGCTTGTGCTATTTTCTTAACCATATATTTAAATAAAATACCTATGGAAACAACATGAAAATGAATCCAGTTGTTTGGCTGTTTCAGATAAAAAGTGCAAGCTATTCATTGTGTCCTAGATTGTCATGAGAATTGTTTGTTTTTCAGATTTGGGACAATAATAGTCTCAGAGCTCATTGTAAAGATAACTTCTTTTAAACCAGATTCATATCACATAATAGTGGGTGTTTTGAGATTATTTACCAAGAAACTTTTACTAATGTTCCTGATTATCTTTTAAGGACTTCAGTACTCAGATCCAAGGAACAAGGAACAAAACATTAACCAACACCTAGGGAGGCAGGCTGATCAGACTTTACTTGTTTATCTTTGAGCACAACTATTTCTTTTTCTGATTTCTCAAATTCTTATGGAGATATAAGCCCTAGACCTCATAAATGTTGAGAAAGGAATGTCCATTTTGAGTTTCCTATTGGCAATTTTTTAATTGGAAAGAAAGACAAATATAATTCGTGAGGTGAAGGAGTAAAGGTTGAAAAGACCTGACACATAGACTACTTCCCATTTTTCCCAGTCAAACACATAGAGAGACTCATTTGTTAATGTGTTTACTATGATAACTGCCCTCTTAATTTCCTCCAAAAAATCATAAAACTAAAGATTATCTAATCCTAATTTTAGTAGGTGCTTTCTAAGAAATGCCCAAACATAAATGAAGAGATAGTACTGGCAACACACCATGCCAATTCATATCTACTGCATTACTAAATATTGAACAAAACACATTATTTTATGCACCGTGAAACTGTCCTCGGGCACTGGGTTCCAATGTGAGTTAACTTTGAGTTCCCTAGGCAACCAGGAAAATACAGTAAGGATAGAATATACCAGAAAATCATGTTTATTGTTACTTCATGTTTGTATTTGTACCACCAGGAAAATGATCATGGTAAAATTTCAAAGCCTATGATTTCCAACTGTATTCTCAAATAGTTATGCTTTCAAGTAAAAAAAATTATTTTTGAGAAGAGTATTTTCAAAATTTAAAAATTTCTTTTGTCATAGGAGTTGTAATAGTATTTAAGATTACAAGGCAAGATAATTAGCAGGTCTAAAACAGGGGAAGAAGGGTGAATTTATGATGAGAAATAAAATACAGGTTTATTGGCTAGTATCCTAACATAATAGTATCCTACACAATATCTGCTCATAGATTTAAGTATAGAAATAATTTCTTGAATGTACCATGAAAAATGCTATTTCAGTGTAAAATTACCTTAACTTGTGACTAAACTCCTAGAGAAAAGTACCTTGCAGGTGAAACTCCTGTGAGATCCTGCCATTACCACTACTTTTAAAAAAAACTGGAGAAGAATAAGAGATGAAGCATTCACTGCACATGTAAGGAGATATATCAAAATCCCAATGTTCCTTAACAATAGCTGTGCTTGAAAAATATTATGATTCTTTCTGGTTTTCTTACCACAAAGTTCATATTTACCTTGATATGAGAAGATGAACCCGTATTTGCATCAGTCACATGCTTCCTAATTTTGGGCTGCTTATGCTCTTCCTCAGCATTTGTGTTTTTCCTCTTCAAGGTCTCTGAATTAGCAAGGAAGTAAAGAATATTTCACTAACACATTTTCAGATTGGAATTGGGATATGGTTATTGCTAAGAAGGCTTCAGGTAGACAATTTGGTATCCAAGAATACAAGCAAATGATGCTCAAACTTTCTTTGGGCTCCTCAAAGTCTCACATATTCGTCTTCCCTTAACCTTCTCTGACTCTGATCACCTTACTTCTCATTTTCTCCACCATCCCCTTCACACATTCTCTTACATACTCTTACACAGTTACTCACAGGACAACTTGGGTAGTTCAAGCTCACTGGGGTGGACTGTCAGACTCTAATGCCTCCATGAAACATGACAGGAACAGGAGACTCGCTCACCACATGAGTTGGCTATATTACTTTATAATTGTCACAAGAATAATCAACATTATTAGTACTCCATGCTGAGTTAATTGTTTTGTATAAACACAGTTCTTATTCCTATCTGATTTTCCAAGTTAGTTGTTTTAAAGAGAATCATTATCCTGTCAGATAGATATTTTTTGAGGGTTTGTGGATACTACCTTAGAGGAAGGGGAAGGGAAAAAACAATAATGGAAAAATGTTCTACATATTGTATACATTTTATCAGTTTTTTTATAGTACTGGAGGTTTAAATCAGACCCTTGTATTTGCTAGGCAAGCAGTCTATCACTTAAGCCATAGTTCAGCCCATTTTCTTTGGTGATTTTTCAAATGTAATCTTGCACTTTTTGCCTGGACTGTCCTCAGTACTAAATCCTCCCAATAATGCTTCTCTGTAGCAGAGAATAGAGTGTAAACAGCAAACTTCAGCTTCATTGTTAGATGGGGGGTCTTGATAATATTTTTCTTGGGATAGCCTTAGATTGCTATAACTCTGTATTTTCACCTCCCAAAAGCATGTAGGTATGCAACCTACATGTTCCACTACCTCATCTTTTTATTTGTTTGGAGGACTAGGGTTTGACCTGAAGGCCTCAAGTTTCCTAAGCTGACACTAACAATCTGAGCCACAGCTCATTTATAACTCTCTGCTAGTTAACTAGTTAACTGGAGCATCTCACAGACTTTTCTATCCAGGCTGGCTTTGAACCATGATTCTCAGATTTCAGCTTCCTGAGTAGCTAGGATTACAGGTTTGAGCCACTGGCACCTATCAGAGTCTAGTGAACTTTTCTTCCCAGGTAGGCATTGAACTGTAATCTTCTGGGTTTCAGTCTTCAGAGTAGTTATGATTATGAACATGAGCCACTGTGGGCATACTTGATGCAAAAAACAGGAAAAATGCCAAATAGAAGTTTATATTTTAAGTTATACTACTCTTCTAAATATAGTATTTACAGTTAAAAATACAGAATTAGATCTCAGTTTTGTTCTGAAGTATAAAACAAGAGTCTGATTCCACAAAATTCTCCTTCATATAAACAGAATTAGGATATCTCACCTACAATATTCTTTTGGTCTCTCACTCTTTTCCTTACTGGCATCTTCTGTGCTGATGATCCAGGTTTAAAGCCACGTGGCCGAAGGCACCTTTCAAACAACTGTAAAAAGATGCATTTTCATTTCTTTTTTTTTGGGGGGTGGATCCGGTCATGGGGCCTGAACCCTGGGTCTGGGTGCTGTCCCTCAACTCTTCGGCTCAAGGCTAGCGCTCTACCACTTGAGCCACAGTGACACTTTCATCTTTTTTCTTTTTGCTCATGTGGTACTGAGGAATTGAACCCAGGGCCTCATGCATGCAAGGCAAGCGCTCTATCACTGAGCTACCTTCCCAGCCCCTTCATTTCCTTTTTGTACTAATAAAACAATACAATAAAACACAAGTGTATGTGGGATAAAGTAAGAACTATAACCCATACTTACATACTCAACAAATTAAAATGAAAATGTCATTTCACAAGTTCTATTTCTATTCTAAATATGGATTGAATGATTTATAAGCAGTATAGTCATATAAAAGAATGGGAACTATTACCATTTTCAATTTATCATGAGCCAAATACTGGCAAGGAACTGATAAAAGAGTCTTAGGATTTTCTTTCCTGTTTGGTACAATCAATCTTCGCTTAGGAGGTAGAAATTTCAAATGCCTTGGTGCGTTCTCAAAGGCAGAAATCTGTTCAAGCATACTTTCCATACTGATATTTGTGTCTTGATCTCTGGATGCTTTCTTCCTTTTCTTTTTTACTCTTTCAGCAATGACTTAAATATAAGAAACAATCATAAGTGTGATCAGTTGTACAACCTTGTAAAACTATATTCAGACAGTACATATTTAAGAAATATGTGCCACACTATACCTGTAAAATCACATTGGAAAGACAATCTTTCTCTTCTCTGAAAAGAAAATCCTTCTATTCTCTGGCAATAAGTTTTGCACATGTTTGCACAGATAGACTGCCTGAGTAACCAAGACCTGCTACATTATTAAAATTGTTGTATAAAAATGCTTAGGAGAGATTTGGTGACCTGCTGGATGGACCCCTGAGCAAACATGGAGCAGAGGTTACACTGAGAGGGAACTTAACCTATCTAGAGGCTTTGTAAAAAACTTGAGTTAGAGGATAAATATTTTGTGTGTGATGGTCATGGTCTAGACACTGTTCCTGTGGTTTTTTGTTTGTTTTGTTGCTCAAGGCTAGCACTCTACCACTTAAGCCATATGTCCACTTGTAGCTTTTTAGTGGTTAGTTGGAGTCAGAGTCTCATGGAATTTCCTGTCCAGGTTGGCTTTGAACCACAATCTTCAGGTCTGAGCCTCCTGAGTAGCTAGAATTATAGGCCACTGATGCCCAGCTAAGTATAAATTTTTGAAACACTAATTTATATTTGTCCTGATTAATTTTCCTCTCACACTGAAAATCATATGTAAATTCACAGTAGGTAGTTAGGTACATAGGACTTAACCTCTTTAAAGAAATATAAGAGGAAAAAGCTGAGGCTAGCTTTTGTTTAGTAAAGCTGAAATGGAAAGAAGGGATTAGATTTCCCAGATGCAAATCTGAGTTCAGATGGAGCCAGAGGAACAGGAACCTGCATATTGATGTGCTTTAGTAGAATCCTGGGAACAAGACTGAATTTCCTCAAGGGGCTGACTGTGTAGCTGGACACTTGGTACTATAAAGTGGTGTGGCTGTGATCAAGAGTTTACAGCCTGTTCCTCACTCTTTCCCCAAAATTTAGTACTACCATGGTTAATTCAGGGAGGGGAGCTCTGAGGACTGAGTTTTCTGCTACCACTGTCAAATAGAAGTTCAGTGTTAATGTCAAGGAAAAAAACTTTGACTCTTTGAATATTTTATTTCTAGTATATGTTAGCTTATACACACAAATTCAATTTGGGTTTATACTATTATGTAATACTATAGATTATATCCATTATACATATATATACATATATCAATTATATCAGGCTTGATGTTTCTTAAAAGACCGAATGATATATTAGATTCAAATTCATTGTTTACTGCTAAAAAGTGTTAAATATTTCCAGTTAAATGAAAGAGAGCATTGTACCTCTTTCTATCATTTTATTTCGCTTTTTTATATTCGCTGATTATGTATTAATCGTGATCAAATTGAAACTCTTCTTTCTTTTCATTCCTTTTTTTTTAACCAGATAAGGCTGTATTATGCATTCTAAACTGTCCCCCTTGCTATACAGTCTGGGCTGCATAGCAGCCTCCTGAGTGCTGGAATTGCAGGAGTGTACCACTATTGTCCAAAATTCTACAAATGCAAGAGCTTCATCTTCCTTGCTTTTTGCCCAATACACAATAATGTCTCAACACCCTTGAAATGGACCCAGTTTTAAATTATCCAATTTCTTGAATCAGACCAAACAAGACTGAATTTCCTGAACAAGACTAAATTGGATGAAAAAAATAATCTCAAACTTCCTTCACTCCTTTTTTCTCTTACAAATGCTATTACTACACTGACCCCTTTCTATGGTGTCTACTGGATTATTGACATACTTCAAGAAAATTAAGATACTAGTAATTCAAAGACAAAAATAACACAAATGTCTCTTACCTGGCACGACAGTTGGCTCAAGATGTTTCTGATCAGGCAGGACAGTTGGCTCAAGATGTCTCTGATCTGGCATGGCAGTTGACTCAAGAATAAATCCTTGCTCGTCAATTGATGAATCTTCCTCAATTATGTCATTTATAGGTATAAATAGATCTTCTATATTATCTGGTTCTACTAATTAATATCATCATAGAAGTAAGTAGAAAAACATACGGTTATGTTGCAAAGTAGAAGACTATATATAAGTGAAAATGAAAAAAAATAATTTGAAATTTATACTGTTAACTAAAGCCTTATCTGAATTCTTGGATTCATATATTTCAGAGAAATAGTCTCATAGTCTTCTAGACACAATACTTTGGTGAGTCAGCTGTATGCTCCTTTTTTGCACCTGTGATATCTAAGGCAAGGCCACCTTCATTACAACATTAAAAGTACTGGTAGCACTGCCAATAAATGACAGATACTACATCTCCTGGAAAACTTATATTTTGTTTAATCATTTACCAATCAGTACATATAATTCTTTAACTTTTTCCTTAAATTTTCTATTTCTATCATTGTGCTAGAAAAATAATAAATCATCAAAATGAAGAAAATTCAAAATGGGAGAATTACACATTTTTTGGTGCCAGTTCTGGAGTTCGAACTCAGGGCATGAACACTATCCCTGTATTTTTTTCTCTCAAGGCTAGTCCTCTACCACTTGAGCCACAGCTCTCCTTCCAGCTTTTATATGGTAGTTTATTGGAGATAATTATTTTATGGACTTCCTGCCCAGGCTGGCTTCAATCACAAGCCTCAGATCTAAGCTTATAGAGTTGCTAGGATAACAGACATGAGCCACTGTTGTCAAGCCTAATTATACTTTAATTCTGAAGAAAACTCACCCTCAACTTCAACTTATCCTCAGTATTTTTTAAGAATTTTTAAGCTGGAAAAATATTACCACACTTATAATTTCTCTCAAATTATGTAGATCATCATATCCTACTAGTGATAGATTTTTCTTACTACGTAACAGAGCTTGATTAGTACTGGGGCTTGAACTCAGGATCTCACAATCTGGCTCAGCTTTTTCACTAGAGGCTAGAGTTCTACAGCTTACACATACCTCCACTTGGGACTTTTTGCTGGTTAATTGGAGATAAGTGTCTCATAGATTTTTGTGCCTAGGCTGGCTTTGAACTGCAATCCTCAGGTCTCGGATTCCTTAGTAGGTAAGTTTACAAGCAAGAACCACCAGCCTCTAGCTTTATGTTTTATATATGTGTGTTACAGATAACATATATAACATATATAGCATATATATATAATAATCAAGACTTAAAAGCACATTATTTGGGCAGCATATTTAACTGTACTTTCAAAATTAATGGAATTCTAGACAAATACTTTTCAATGAACATTTTTCAATGCCCTATTTTATACAATCTGGAGGCAAAATAAGGGAATGAAAGGTATGATCCTACTTAATACCTTTCACTATACTATCATGTTACTCAAATTCAAAAGTTCTGAGGCTTAATTTGAATAATATTCAAATTTTATATACACCAAAAGAGCTTTATCATACCAACTGTAATATTGGGAGGACCAGCAATCGGTGAAACTTTCACGTTGAAATGAATGTCTTCTAACAGGTCACTCTGATATCCTTGCAGTAAATTATCTTTAAAATCCAACAAATACCTTTGTCATACAGACTTAAATTGTCATTTGTTCACTAAAATTTTGTGTACGTTATTTTATGAAAAGCTTTGTGAAGAGATAAACTGTTTCTAAACAAACTAAAATTCTAACAATACAGTTGATACAGTTTGAAGTCTATACAATTTATCAATATGATTTCTCAAAATTTGCCAACAATATTTCTGTAATTTTATACATATAATATAAATATGAAAATATTATATCAAATAATAGAAAATAATTTAGCATAGCTGCTCCCACAATTTGTGATATTTCAGATTATGATTTCTAAATATGTTTAGAAATGCAAACACATTGATTTTACACATAATGTTGATTTCTAAATAGATTTAGAATACATATTTTGTGAGGCATATGCTTATTCCTTCATCTACACCAATGAGCAATTCATAAAATATAAGAACAGACACTAAATTGCAACCTCAATGACAAATGTGTTACAGATTTGACTAATTAGGTCTAATTATATCATAGATTTCTTTGGAAAGTCATGTAAAAAATTAGTTGACGTATAACCTAGAAACTTTATTTTGACAAAACTAATTATGTTACAATGGAATAAATCCACTAATGTATTTTAATAATTTGATTTAAGTACAGATTTTATGTCTATACAATTAAAATAAAACAAACCTATCATTGCTTCTGCATTTCCTTCATCTCCAAATCCATCTCCAAGGTCACAAATGAAAGATTTTTGTTTAACGTGGCTTTCAGGACTATGTTCAAGTGATGGTAAACTAGAGTTCAGCAACATGTTGTCACCAGTTAAGCTATGGCTTCTTACAGTTTCAATTTCTCCCCCTAAATAAATATCATTAATGCTAATTAGTCCTAGGGCAATACTTTAGGAGTAAGAAGAAATTGAGATATCTAATACAATCCAGTCTCAGTCCAAGGAAAATAGAAGAAATTATTTCAATTATGCAACTGAGGACACTTAGTGAGTCTGATATATATATATATATATATATACATACATATATAAAAAACTATATATAATACATACATATATATACATATATCTAGTTATTTTTGCCTGTCCTGGGACTTAAACTCAGGGCCTGTCTGTTCCTGACATATTTTTCCCAAGGCTAGAACTCTGCCACTTGAGCCACAGCTCTACTTCTGGCTTTTTGGTAGCTAATTGGATATAAGAGTCTCATGGGCTTTTTTGCCAAGGTTAGCTTTAAACTGTGATGCTCAGATCTCAGCCTCCTAAGTTGCTAGGAATACAGGCATGAGGCACCAGCACCCGGCAAGAAGCTACATTTTTTTTTATTAAATACTCATTTCAATACAAAGAACAATATAACAGCTAAAAAATGATCCAGAAATAAAGTCACACACAGCCAACATATTTTTGTCAAAAGAGCAAAAAATACATGAGGTAAAAAAGACATTCTTTTCAACAAATATTGCTGCAGTAGACTGAAACTGGACCTCTATGTCTCTGTACAGAAATTAATTCTAGTTGAAGAAGAACCTCAAAGTAAAAATCTAAAACTTTAAATCTACTACAGGAAATGTAGGGAAAATCCTGGAAGATAAAAGCACAATAAATTTTTTTGAGGGGGGTCCAGTCGTGGGGCCTGAACTCTGGGCCTGGGTGCTGTCCCTCAGCTCTTCAGCTCAAGGCTAGCATTCTACCACTTGAGCCACAGTGTCACTTCCGGCTTTTTTTTTTTTGCGTATGTGGTGCTGAGGAATCGAACCCAGGGCCTCATGCATGCAAGGCAAGCACTCTACCACTGAGCCACCTTCCCAGCCCACAATAAATTATTTTTAAAGAAGAGTCCAGACCCCAAGAGGATGGAACTTGAGTTGACAAATGGGAATGTATCAAATAAATGAATTTCTGCACAACCAAAGAGCAAACCATATGAACCAAACAACAACCCAAAGAATGGGAGAAAAATCTTTGCTAGCTATTCAACAGGCAAAAGACTGACATCCAAAATATACAGAAAACTCAAGAAATTATAGAGCAAAGTGCAAGCAATCCTATCAACAAATGGCAAGAAAACTGAACAGATGACACAAAAATGCAGATGACAAACCCATACATGGAAAAGTATTGAACATCTTTAGCCATAAAGAAATTGAAATCAGAGGAGGGGGGCCAATATGGCAAGGGAACAGTAGGGAAACACCACAGCTCTCTCCAAACAAATAGAATTTGGGTTTCAACGCTCCATTTCTCCAAGAGACGGACAACAACAAAAAGGTGAATACTCAGAGAGATACAGGAAGTGAAAAAAAACAGGAAAGGAAAAATAACTTCAGAACCTATACAAAGATGCTAAAGCGAGAAGACCCTTCCTCCACCCCTTGCTGGTGGCACTGCTCTGTGCCAAGCTGCCCAAGCGGCCCAGCCTGGGGCCCACTAGGGCCCACAGAGCCACAATGGTCCAAAGAGTCCCAGAAGACACCCCAAGAGCTGGCGCCTACCCGGATAGTGCAAACAGAAAACTTGGAGCTCAGAACCCACACAAAGATTGCTTCCCCACCCCTCCCTGCAGCGCAACTCCTCTCCACTCCATCCTGTGGAAGCAGCTAGGTCTGTGCCAGTGGAGGGGAACTCCAGGCCCACAGCACAGCCCTGCATGGTCCTGCAGAAGCAACCCGGACCGCGGCAGCGGTGGAGACCCCAGAACCACAGCAGCCTGACCCGTAGAAGGCCACTGCAAAAACACCTGCAGCACAGACCCAGAGAGCACAAACAGTGGCAGAGACTGTGAAACACAGACCCAGCTTACACCACCACCCAGCACAGCCTACAAGCATCTCAATGAACTGATGACCAGCAACCTGCAGTGCACGAAAACAGTGATCTGCCACAGCACTGCTGGACAACTCGCAACCAGCTCCAGGATAAGTGAGTACCTCACAAGGGACACTTACCCCCACCCGACCCACCCCCGCCACAGGAAAGCAGTACTGGTGGTAACCCCCAGAACTTGACTTGAACCCCTCCCCCACCACCTGGGCTACAGGTCATATGGAAGCTGGGAATTGCACAACCACACCAGCAACCAGTGAGCACACCCAGCCCTCCAGGCTTGACCAAGAGTCCCCTGGGAGGGAAGGAGAGCAATCTAGGCTGCTGGTCCTTGACTGAAGGTGGGAACTGCCTGGTATCTCCAGTAGGCAGCTGAAGGAGCCCCACCTGTGTCCCAGGCAGGAACCTGAGCTATCTTACCCGCTTGTCCCTGACTGGTCAGGATCTGAGTGAGCAATGAAGCAGATGGTGGAGTGTGTCTGCCCACCCAGCCCTACCTGTGTCCCAGGCAGGAGCCTGAGCTGTCCTAACCACTTGTTCCTGACTGGTCAGGATCTGAGCGCACAGCACAGCACAGGGTAGAGTGTGTCTGCTCACCAGAATCTAACAAGAATAATCCCTAGGTGAGACAGACCAGCAGCTGGAAAACAGCCCCTCCACCAACAGAACTGAGGCCAGGTAAAGTACTCTCAACCAGCCCAGGGCCAAGAGCAAGCTACATCAATTGATCCAGGAACAAATCCAGAACAAAACAAAGGCAGCCACTTAGTGACCAAAACAGAGTCTGGAATTGGTCTCCAATAATCCCTGAATCCACATACGAAAATCACAGCAAAAAATTACAAGATTTATCAATAGCCAAGACAGCAAACCAGACCCAAAGACCAGCAACCACCCAGGGAAGAACGCCAGTGGAAGCAAAAAAGAAATGGAAGATGAATGCTATATCCAAGAGATAATAGAAGCAGTGACTCAAGAATTAAAATGAGAAACGGTTCCGAAATTTAAAGAACAAAGGAATGAATTATCAAAAGATATCCGGGATTTCAAGCAAGAAATGCATTCAAAACTAGATGCAGTACACACCTTGCTAAAAGATAATACTCTGAGAAACGACATAGAAATTATAAATTGCTCAATTTCCTCTATGCAAAATTCAATTTCCTCCATGCAAACCACAGTGGAAGCCACAGTTAATAGAGTGAGAATGAAATGGAAAATAAAACATCAGATGCTGAAGACAAAATGCAGGCACTGGGGAAAAAAGTTACAGATATGGAAAAAAAACACTCAAAATATGCCAAAGGGAAGTCTAAGAACAAGCAGACAGTGCCAAGAAATTTAACCTTCATATAACTGGGATGGACAAAGGGAAGGAATACCAGAATAAAGGAATGCAACACTTATTCAATAAGATCATCACTGAAAATTTCCCCAGTCTTAAAAGAGAAAATCTTACCTACATAACAGAGGCTTACAGAACACCTACCAAGCAAGATCCGAGGAGGAACACTGATAGGCATATTATAGTAAAAATTCTAGATTTTAGCAATAAAGAAACAATCTTGCACACAGCAAAAGCAAAAAGGGAGCTATACTACAATGGGGAAAAGGGAGAATCACTGCAGATCTCTTCACACAGACACTGAATGCAAGGAAAGCCTGGGAAAGTACCGTCTGAGCCCTGCGAACCAATAACTGCCAGCCCAGACTGGTATATCCAGCAAAGCTAGAATTCGCATTTAACAGTGAAACTAAAATTTTAAATAGTAAATAAAAACTAAATGAAATCAAAACCAATAAGCCAGCATTACAAAGAATATTAAGAGGTGGATTACAATCTGAAGAAAACATCAAGATCAGGGATCCATACCAGATAGATATCACTAGGAGACCAACTTAGTAAACACAGGAGGAAAGGAAAGAAAAAAAACTTAGGAAATCAAGAAAATGCCAGGAAGCACAATATGCCTCTCTATAATAACCATAAACATTAATTGATACAATTCATCAATCAAAAGAAAAAAACTACAGGTTGGATCAGAAAACAAGATCCATCAATTTGCTGTCTTCAAGACACCCACCTCACAGCCAAAGATAAAAGCAAACTCCGAGTGAGAGGATGGAGGAAGACCTATCATGCAAATGCTCCCAGCAAGAAGGCAGGAGTTTCCAGCTGATAAAATGAACTTTACATTAAAATCTTTATGAAAAGACAAAGAAGGTCACTATATAGTAATATAGGGAACAATCCAAGAAGAGGATACCACCATTGTCAATCTATACTCTCCAAACACTGATGTACCCAAATATGTTAACCAAAGACTCTCAAACTTACAGGAAAAGATATATCCAAATACAATAAGGGCAAAGTAGCAGGGTACAAAATTAACACACAAAAATCAGTTGCTTTTTTGATGCCAACAATGTACAAGCAGAAAGGGAAATCAAGAAAACAACCCCATTCACAATTACCTCAAAAAAAAAGTATCTAGGAATTAACCTAACTAAAGATGTAAAGGATCTATCTAATGAAAACTATAAAAGCCTTAAAAAATCATAGAGGATACCAGAAAATGGAAAGACCTCCCATTTTCTTTGATAGGCAGAATTAATATAGTGAAAATGGCCATACTGCCAAAATTGATACATAAAATTTCAATGCAATTCCCCAATGATGTACTTACTGAAATAGAGAAAACAGTCCAAAAATTCATATGGAACAACAAAAGACCTAAAATAGCCAAAGCAATTCTAGACAAAAGAAAGAATGTGGTAGAGATCATGATACCAGATTTCAAGCTCTACTATAAAGCCATAATATCAAAGGGATCATAATACCAGATTTCATATTCTACTATGGAGCCATAATAACAAAGACAGCTTGGCACTGTCTTTGAGACCCAAAGACCAATGGAACAGCTTAGAAGACCCAGAAATAGAACTGCATACGTAGTCAGTTGATACTTGACAAAGGAGCCAATGACATACAGTGGAAGAAGCATAGCCTCTTCAACTACTGATGCTGGGAAAACTAGGCAGCCACATGCAGAAAAGTAAAAGTGGACCCCAGCCTGTCACCATGCATTAAAATCAACTCAAAATAGATTAAAGACCTTAACATCAAACCTGATACCCTGAAACTACTGCAGGACAGAGTAGGAGAGACATTTGAACTTATAAACACAGGCAGTAACTTCCTGAACAGAGTCCTAGGGTCACAACAAATTGGAGAGAGACTCAACAAATGGGACTACCTTAAATTAAAAAGTTTCTGCACAGCTAAAGAAATAGCAAACTAGAAAGGCAGCCAACTAATTGGGGAAAAATATTTACCAGCAATATATCAGACAAGGACCTAATATCCACTATATACAGGGAACTCAAGAAACTAACCCCTCCCAAATCTAACAAACCAATCACGAAATGGGCAAGGGAGCTAAAGAGAGACTTCTCAGAAGAAGAGATAAAAATGGCAAAGAAACACATGAGGAAATGTTCACCATCCTTGGCTATAAAGGAAATGCAAATAAAAACAACCCTGAGATACCACCTTACCGCAGTCTGAATGGCCCACATCCTAAATTCAGCCAACAATGATTGCTGGAGGGAATGTGGAGAAAGAGGAATCCTTCTGCATTGCTGGTGGGAATATACACTAATACCACCACTTTGGAAAGCAGGGAAATCAAGAAAACAACCCCATTCACAAGAACCTCAAAAAAAATAAAGTATCTAGGAATTAACTTAACGAAGGATGTAAATGATCTATTTAATGATCTTATTGAGATAGGATCATTTTCTGAGATATCTCAGAAAGCTAAATATAGACCTCCCCTATGACCCAGCCATACCACTTCTAGGCATCTACCCTGAGCAACAGGAACCAGGATACAAGGACACATGCACTTCTGTGTTCATGGCAGCACTGTTCACAATAGCCAAGATATGGAAACAACCCAGGTGCCCCACTACAGACGAGTGGATCCAAAAATTGTGGTACCTATATACAATGGAATATTATGCAGACATTAGAAAGGACAATATAATGGCATTTGCAGGGAAATGGATGGAACTAAAGCAAATCATTTTGAGCGAGGTAAGCCAAGAGCAAAGAGACAAACGGCACATGGTCTCCCTGCTATGTGGATGCTAAAGCTAAAATGCAAGGAGATATGGCAAAGTAAACAGGACTGGAGAAACAAAGCTGCTCATTTTGTCATATCATTGTTAAATGACTCCATGTTTTTGACCACATATATGAAATATAGATAGATAGATAGGTAGATAGATAGATAGATAGATAGATAGATAGACAGACATATATATATATATATATATATATATATATATATGGGTGCAATGGAGGGAAGCGGGAAGCTAGGAGGAGGGCACAGAATCAGAGGGAAATGGGAAAACATACAACACAGGGGCCCATCAGCTGCACTGGACATAGATGAAAGTGAACTAAGCAACTCAAAAGACAGCGATGGGAGGGAAAGAGGGAACAGTTTAAGCTAAGCAAAAGGAAAGAAATGTACATATCACCTGATGTGGAAGAAATAGTTGTATTGTCAAAGCTCAAGAATTCACAAACTTTATAGACCATGATAATGACAATTTGCCTTGTGAAGGTTAAAATGTGTTTATGACTTTATCACTATTCCACAATACTGTGAAATATGTGAAATTTATGTAATCATCTAATCTCAATAATAAGGTAAAAAAAAGAAATTGAAATCAAAACAACACTGAAACTTTTACCTCACTTCAGCCAGAATCACAGCTACCAAGGAAAAAAATTCTAGACAGGGTACTGGCAAAGAGCATTCCCTGGTGTACTGTTGTTGGGAATGTAAACTAGTGCATCCTCTGTGGGAATCAGTACGGAAATTCCTCAAAAGTCTAAAAATAGATTTTTCACATGACCCCATCAATCACTTCTGGGCTTATATCTGAAGGAGAGTATATCAGTATACCATAAACAACACTGTTCACAGTAACCAAGTGATGAAATCAACTGAGGTGTCCAACAATAGATGTGTGGATTAAGAAGCTATGATGGAATAGTATGCATCCATAAAGAAAAATGAAACCATTTCATTTGTAGAAAACTGGATCTTGCTAGAGGATATCCTACTGAGCAAGACAAGACAACCACAAAACATGAAATATCAATGGTTTTCACTTATTTGTGATAACTAAACTTAAAGGACTTTCATACTTCTGTACATAAGAATAAGTACCTATATACATAATTACTTACATGGCTAACTATAAAACATGAACCAAGTTAGGAGACCACTCAGGAAAGGGAAAGGGGAAATTAACTTTGTAACTTATGGCAAATATATATGAGAATAGCACAGAGAAACTTCACAAAAGCTTATGATCAATAGAAGGAGGGGAACTAAGAGAAATAGACTGTGTGTGGGTAGGGATTGCTGGGAGCAGGGCATGCCTGAAAGGAGGATAAAGAAGATCACATAGGGTCAAAGTAGATTATTCTCACCTAGAAAACATAGCAAAGAAACCTACTGGAAATGCTATTTCTTAGAGGGAATGGTTCAGGGAATGTGACAGAGGGGATGAAATTGATTGGAATACAATGTAAACGTATGGAGATGAAACAATGAAATCTGCTCAACTGCATAACTGATGTAAGCCAATTTAAAAAGCATATATATATAAACACAAAGAGACAACAAACAAAAATCGAAATCCAACAAGAATATGGATAAAAATTTAAACTAATACTAAGAAAATACGCATAAACAGCTAAATGAGCTCAAAGACAAAACAGTTAAATGCCTAAGAGACTTCAACGAAGATATACATAAATGAACTCAGTGCAATACATGCAAAAAGAATTTCAGGAAAGAGGTAGAAATCCCCCCTCAAACAAATGTCTTGGAGATGAAAAATGAAATAGAAAGATTCACAGAGAGCATAGAAAGAGCATAAAATATCAGGTCTTGAAGACAGAGTAAACATAGTAGAAAAGGCAAATTAAATACAGATAAAAAGTCAAAGAAAAATGAGTATGTAAGGAATTGGCAACAAGTTTGACAAGAAATGTACTTCTTACCTTACTTATGTAACTGTAACTCCTCTGTACATTACCTTGACAATAAATATATATATAATATTTTAAAAACAAAAATAAAATTAAAAAGGAATTGGAAAGGATTTCTGCACTATTAAAAGACCAAGTGTGTGAATGATAGGGAAATGTGAAAAATAATATTCAAGAGCTAAAGCCATAGGAAACTTGCAACAAAATAATAGCACAAAATTTCCTTCACACATTTTATAAAAGAAAAGCCAAGACCCTTTTTTGTATCATAAGTAATCAAAGCATGCCAGGCATTAGTGACTCACATCTGTAAGCTACTCAAGATGCTGAGATCTGAGGATCCAGCCAAGGTAGGAAACCAAAAAAGCCAGAAGGGTAGCTGTGGCTCAAGTGGTAGAGTGCTAGCATTGAGCACAAAAGCTGTATGTCCAGGCCTTGAGTCCAAGCCTCAGGACTGGCAGCAAAAAAATGTAATCAAAGAATCAAGGCCTGTATATGTAGCATAATAGGTCACTCTCTTGCCTAGCAAGCAAATGGCTCTGAGTTCAAACAAACCCCAGTATCACAGAATAAAAAACACCCCAAAAGTCCAATTTTGTATCATAAATATTCTAAGCATTCAATGTGGTGATTATTTCCTCCTGCTGACCCCCAAGTCAATTTAACATCTGTATTTTACACCTGATAATTATCATACAGTAGAGGAGATATGGTATTTGAAGGTATTTTGTGCAGCATACAGAGAAAACCTTCTATATGGATTAACTATAGCATCTGTCTGTTTCTCTTCCAAGTCTGAAGCTCCCTGAGAGCAGGATCTGCTTTTTAAAGCTGTAGTACAGATGTCTATGACAGCCTCTGACATATAGTAAGAATTCATTAAAGTCTTGTACACAGAGACAGGAAGAGCATCTTAAGACCTGGCATTGACATTTTATTGGGCTTGTACTTAAACAATAAAATATCCATTCTATAGATACTTCTACTGGTTGTTTCAATACAAAAATACAGCTAAAATTGATTATGACATAATTTTCATTCTGCTCACCAAAGCTGTCAGCCTGAAAGTATAGAACACAACCATAATCTTCTTTAAGGGTAATTTCTTCTGGTCTGCTTTGGTGGTGAGATAACTGTTCTAAAACATCAAGAACACTAAAGAAAAATATAGGTTTGAAGAAAACATATGAAAAGTAAAGTTATTTTAAAGCATGCCAAGAAATTTTACAACAAGCCAAGATTTATAAATAAAGATATAGGAGAGTTTGAATACTCTTTTTGTCATGCAAGGTTTTAATATATGATATGCACAAATAAATTCTGGCCTGGAAAACTCAGTGCTGATTCTCAGCCTTTATCATACCTGTGTTCACCCACAGCATTTGGAGCAGCTGTAGATTTAATGTGTGTTCTCTCCAAATCCATGTTAATCCTAATCACCAAAGTGATGGTATTAGGCCTTAGTCAGGTGGCCAGGTCATGAGGGCTCTGCTTTCATGAATGATATTAGTGGCCTTATGATGGCTCCTGCTACTATCTCCCTTCCTTTCACCATATAAAGACACAGGGAAAAGGCTGCTATGAACCAGGAAGCATAACCTCACTGGACTCTGATTTCTGGAACCTGGAAAATTGCCTTCCTAGACTTGGAGATGTTGTAACAAAACACATTGCACTGAGTAATTTATAAGCAACAGAAACTTCTTGAGCTCATTGCTCTGGACTTTGGGAAGTTCAATATCAAGGTGCCAGAAGATTCAGTATCTAGTAAGGGCCAGTTGCACAGAGGCACCTTGTTGTTATATTTGCAAGTGGTAGAAGGTGTAAAGAAGCTGCCTTAGGCATCTCTTACAAAGGCATGAGGGCCTTCCGAACTTAATCATCATCCAAATCCCCATTTTTAATACCATCACCTTAGGCATTAGTTTCAACATATGAAATGTAATGCACACATTGAAAGCAAAGCCATACATTATCTAAAACCTAGCTTCCTTCTCTCTCTTTCTAAATGGGTCCTTCCCTAAGTGTCCTAATTTTATTAGGTAGTAACTTCATCTTCTTGCCCCCAATCAGAGTCATCCTTTACTTCTTTCTCTCAGAGCCTTATTCATCAGTAAATACTGATAGCTCTGATTTTCATACATATTCATAATTTGACTGCTACAACTTTACTAAGATGAAGGCTGAAAATTCATCACCGATACTATCTACTTTCAATTGGTCCTCTTGCTACAATAATCTTCTCACAAGTTCTTTGTTTCCTTGCCCCCTAACAGTAAGCCAGAAGGAGCATGTAAGCTCAACAAGCTTAAGTCAGATTCTGTTCTCTATTCAACACCTATGTTTCCTTATTTAATAAAAGTCTCACTGTATCTGCAACATCCCATATGACCTGGACTTCCTGCTACCTCTCTGACCTCATTTCTCTACCAGTCAGCTTCTCATTCTCCACTCCAATATTACTTGCATTCTTGCTTAGGACCTTTTTCGCTTATTCTGCCTGGAGCATTCTTTCTCGACCTTACTGAATGATGTATTCTCAACTTATAAAATTCTTTCATGATTGCTGGGGACTGGTGGCTCACGGCTGTAATACTAGCTACTCAGGAGGCTGAGATCTGATGATCACAATTCGAAGCCAGCCCTGGCAGAAAAGTCACTGTAAGACTTTTATCTCTAATCAAAACCCAGAAGTGGAGCTGAGGCTCAAGTGGTAGAGTGCTAGCCTTGAGAAAAAGGAGCTCAGGGACGGTACCCAGGCCCTAAGTTCAAGGCCCATGACTAAAAAGAAAAGAAAAGAAATTCTCTCCTGATCATCCTAACACAAAGTCTTTTGCATTTTACAACACTTATTAATTCCCTTCATGTTGAGTATCTAATCCTCTCCTGGAATATTGTATATAGATTTGCTTGATTTTTGTTAGTGTACTCAAAATAACTGTAAATTTAATCTATGAAGTCAGAAGCTGTGTTTTATTCATGGATTTGTCTTCAGTTCCTGAAAGAGCACCTGGCACAGGAGAAGCATACAATGAACACCCATGAATGAATTGTTAAATATACTGTTAACTTTGCAAATTATATTAAGTACAATGATGCATTTTATTTCTGCAAGCTGACATTCCACACTAACTTTAAATCTTTGTCAGCTATACAAACATACACATAAATATAGATGTATATATACACTTGTTCAGAACCTAAATTCCCTTGACCTCAAAGAAATGTGAACATGAAAACAGCAAAACATTAAGAAAATCAAAGAAAAAATAAAGAAAATAATGTGATTTACTTTATATTCTCAAATTCAAAATCATGAAATTCTTCTCTTAATGTGATAGAATCATATTGTGCTTCCAAGTGTTGTCTTGGGAGATCAATCACTTCTGAAAAATATATGAAAAACATTCAATAAACAGGGATGCTACATAAAACAAGAACTTCTCAGATAATATATACTGTCCCTCACTTGACTGTTGCTTACTCTCTTTAGCTGGTTTCCCTATACCCATTCCTGGCCCTATGCAGTCCATTCTCTATAAAGTAACCAGCATAAGCTTTGAAAGTAAGGGAAGGGGTAGGTTGGGAGGGGTGGGACAGAATGTTGAAATGGATGACATTGATCAAGATGTACTGTATTCCTGAACTACTTTGATGAATGGCAACTCCTTTGTACAACTTCTTTTTTTTTTTTTACGGTCATGGGGTTTTAACTCTGGGTTTGGGCGCTGTCCCTCAGCTCTTCAACTCAAGGCCAGCACTCTACCACATGAGCTACAGCACCACTTTCGGTTTTCTGAGTGATTTATTGGAGATAAGAGTCTCACAGACTTTCCTGCTCAGGCTGGCTTTGAGCCATGATCCTCAGAACTCAGCATCCTGAATAGCTAAGATTACAGGTGTGAGCCACCGGTGCCTGGCAAGCAACTTATTTCATACATGTAAATTAAATCAAAAATTTTAACATGTACTCCTTTTAGCCCTACCAGCAGAGCAGGTATCATGTGAGGACACTTTCTTCTTCACTCATTATATTAGACACAATTAGAATTTTTCTTACCTCAAAGAGTCCAATGTTTTTTCATCCTAAGAGATTTTTCTCTTGCAGGTTCGTCTCCTAATATGCCACTACCCAGGGACTATTTTGAAGCTAGGTACTTTTCTTTCAAGTTTGAGCTTGAATCTCTCTTCTCGCAAAAGCTTTTCCTAAAGATCCTAATCAAAATGAACTTGCCTATTATTTTACATTGCAAAAATATGTTTCTTTTATTGCAGAAACCCAATTTACAACTCCTGCTACAATTTTAAAACATTTTCATTATTTGGTTTCTAACCAGAGTGAAAGGAAACTTTCTTCCCTTGTTTGTTCTTCTATCCCACAGCCTAATATTATTGGCACACAGCATAAAATGAATAATTATTTGTGCAATATTATAAATGAAATAAGTCCATCAGTAAACCATACTTGGGTGTAAATCTACATGAAGCCTCTACAAATGTTTTAAGTAAATAATATGAAAATATCAGTCCTACTTGGCCAAATTTGCTTGAGGTATTCATATGCAAGGCATTACAAAGGTATTATAAGAGATTCAGAAAATAAACTGGGTACCAGTGGATAATCCTAGATAATCTGGAAGGCTGAGATTAGGAGGGTTGAGTTTCAAGGCTAGCCTAGGTAGAAAAAAAGTTCACGAGATCTCTTCTCAACAGATAACTTGGTGTGGTGAGGCATACCTATCATCTTGGGAGTCTGAGACTGGGAGAATTGCAGTCCAAAGCATCCCAGGGCAAGACACCCAAGAGACTCCATCCTGATAGAAAGAAGTTTGCTGCGGTAGGGGATACCTGTCATCTAAGGTATGATGTGAAGCCTAAAATAGGTGGACTGCACTCTAAGAACATGATTAGATAGACAGGTAGACCCTATCTCAAAAATAACCAGTGTAGAAAGGGCTGGATATGGAAGTGGTGTTGTGGCTCAAGCAGTAGAGCACTTGCCTTGAGCTGAAGAGCACAAGGACAGCGCCTAAGCCCAGAGTTCAAGCCCCACGACCGACAAGAAAGAAAGAAAGGAAAGAAAGAAAGAAAGAAAGAAAGAAAGAAAGAAAGAAAGAAAGAAAGAAAGAAAGAAAGAAAGAAAGAAAGAAAGAAAAGAAAGAAAGAGAGAAAGAAAGAAAGAAAGAAAGAAAGAAAGAAAGAAAGAAAGAAAGAAAAGAAAGAGAAAGAAAGAGCTGCATGTAAGCCTAGCCAATAAGGAGGCCCTTAGTTCAAACTCCAAGACCTCCAAAAAATAAATGGTTCTAGCCAGGCACAGGTGGTGCTTGTCTATACTCTTAGCTACTAGGAGTCTGAAAATTAAAGATCATGTTTCAAAGCCAGCCCAGGCAGGAAAGTCAGTGAGACTCATCTCCTATCAGGTACTAAAAATGGAGCTGTGTCTCAAGTGGTAGAGAGGTAACCTTGAACAAAAAAGCTCAGGAAAAATGTCCTGCCCCAGGTACAAAAACATAATTCAGAAAATGGCAACGACAAAGATGGCTTCTTCACTAAGGTTGAGGTTTAAATGACTTTTCCACTAGGTAGAAAATGATTGTCTTCAATGTTGAACAAATGCTGTGTAAATTAAAATTTGAAGACACTATATTTTAAATACTCATATATATGTATATATATAGCACTTTGGAAAGTTTAGGAATTTGGATAGTATTTCGTAAATAGGAGGCAACATAGAATATAAAGAATTCCAAAGACAATGACATTTCTGATATTTACAGTCTGTCACACTATTTCTAATTTCTCTTGAATGCAAAAATATATGACAAACTAGAAGAACCATTAGAATACAGAATGCCAGTTTCCTACATGTGTGGTGGGCTTAAGTGTATCTCTTTTTTTTTTTTTTGGTCCGGTTATGGGGCCTGAACTCTGGGCCTGGGCGCTGTCCCTCAGCTCTTCAGCTCAAGGCTAGCGCTCCACCACTTGAGCCACAGCGCCACTTCCGGCTTTTTTCTTATGTGGTGCTGAGGAATCGAACCCAGGGCCTCTGGCATGCAACGCAAGCGCTCTACCACTGAGCCACCTTCCCAGCCCCATATTTCTTATTACAAGTTTTGGACAGCACAATCTTGTATAAACACAGGAAAGGAACAAGTGAGAGAATATAATTTGTCCTTAACCATGGAAGCTAACATTTCATCAACTTGAAGTTTACATTCACTATATTCATCTGGAAGTACAGCATACTGCCAGTTAATAGAGTCTATGCCAAAGAAAAATACAGAAGGAACCAGGAAGGATGAGATAAATTAACACTGCAAGTTTACCTGTGCGAAACGTCGTGTTTATTGCAACGCATGCTTTTTGGCAGTCTGCCATAAGGTACTTGACCTTCCTGCTATAGATTCGAACAATTCCCAAAAGAAGATGTGCTGAAGTTCGAAGTGCAATGTTCAACTTTTCATCATTTTCAAGTATTAAAATAAAAATTAGATTCATTAGTCCTGTTTGTAAATTGTAACATTTTCTTTTCTCTAAAAAGCATCTTATTCTTATTGAAATTAAACTCATTTGCATTTACCTCAAGTTGTAAAATAATAAACACTTTTAGCTTATTGAACAGAAGAAATCTGATACTACAGCATTTAAGTGGAGCATGTTATTGCCAGTGTTATGGAAAGAATATAGGCTCTGATGTCAGGCAAACTTGGGGTAAAGCCTTGGCTCATTAACTTATGCTGATTTACATTACCTCCCTTAACTTCATTTTAATCAAAATATTTATAATTCATTACATACTCCCTTGGCACTAGCCATTGTCCAAAGAGCTTTTCATACATTAATGTATTTAATTTTGACATCTATTTACAAGAGAAGAAAACCTAGACACACCTACGTTAAGTGGCGTGCCCAAAGTAATATAACTATTAACTAATGAAGAACTAAATGTAATTTTTACCAACTCAAAGGTTCCCAATAACCACCATGCTTCATTGAATCAAAAAGAGTTTATTTCAAGGGCTAGATGTGAAGATTAAATACAATAGGAAACATAAAGTGTAGCCCAGTGACGAACACATAACAGCCTTTCAATTCTATTAGAAATTATACATACTATACCTTAAAAATATTGATACTTAATGCAAATTCTAATAGCTGTTTTATAGTATTATTTTATGCTTATATGATCATTCCATACTATTTTATATATAATCATCTTTCATAGTTTCTGTTCTTTAGTCATTTATTCACTCATTTATTGCTAAGGATCAGTTATTAGATAGTAGCATTTATATAGAGAATAATGAAAGGTTAAAAATATAAAATATACCCTTTATCCCTCAGGGACTAATATATTTTCATAAATACATGGAACATTTTCTACTTTATTAATGTATATAATAATTATTGGTATTTATATCTACTTATTAATATTTGTTATTTTCAATATTTTGATGTTAATAGTTTAATATTTATTAATATAGTTTAAATATTAATAATCAGATAGTAAAATGCATCAGAACTAAATCATTACAAAAGCAAAATTGTCTTGGAAGTATTATTTCATGACATACATGTATTCTAATTGCTTTCCTTCCAGAAGTTATGGCTAACATTTACTATGATATTTTAACCAGTAACATACCTGAGGTGAAATAATTTGTGGAACTGTTGTCTCCAGATTACATTCAATTATATCAGCCTTTCTGAGTTTCTTCTGCCAATGCGCTGCAAGCCATACTTTAGCCAATGATCCTTGGTGACTCAAAAGCACTTGGCTGTAGAATGTGTTGCTTGTGCGCCTTGTTTATATTTAAGGAAATAGGAAGAAAGTGCAAAGAAATTTGGAATTTGATAATGACACATTTCAGTGCAAATTTTCTGCAACCAAACACCTCTTTGAGTCCATAAAATAATGTTTCGATTATTGACTTTCAACATATTATTCCAAGCAATTTTTGTATAAAAAGTAGTATTTATAGCAGTGGCACTCACTAGACACTTTGTTGAAAATGAACTATACAACTTGTGAGTGGGACCGAAGGGGAAAACAGAGAGAGCAAAGGAAAGAGTGACTATTCAAAAAGAAATATACTCTTTATCTGACTTATTTAAGTCTAATAACCCCTCTGTATATTATGTTTATAATAACAAAAAATGCATGAAGAAAAAAAGAAACAGTATTTAGAATATAAAATTATAGCCTATAATTTTAAGGTCATAATCCTAATGAGTTGTAAAGCATACCTAGTTTCAATACATGCTAACCAATGTCATGTTTTTAGATTTTAATTATCATAAAAATGATGGGAGTTTTCTATTTGTTGAAATAGAATTCCAAAGGAACATAGTGTAAAAGAAAATAAAGAATAGAAAAATAGAAAAAAACAAAGAAGAACGAAACTGACTTTGCCAGATTTTTTTTGCCAGTCCTGGGGCTTGAACTCAGGTCATGGGCACTGTCCCTGAGCTACCTTTGCTCAAGGCTAGCACTCTACCACTTGAGCCACAGCTCTACTTCCAGCTTTTTCTGTATATGTGGTACTGAGGAATCGAACCCAGTGGCTTCACACATGCTAGGCAAGCACTCTACCACTAGGCCACATTCCCAGCCCTCAAACTGAAATATTTTGAAACAAGCACATAAGATTATCATACCTTCTTCTAAACTGTACTGATAACATTGTAGCGCTCAGTTACGAAGCACTTTACTTCAGTCCTAGAGACGAAAACAAAAATATTGATAACATGTAAATAATCTTAAAATGCCACTGTGGAAGTTTCTTTTCTAAGGTTTCTATAAGGAGAACGTTAAGCCAACATAAACACAAAGGATGGCAGGCGGACCGTTAGAGGATTGCGTGGGAGGGTGGAGGTCACGGGGCCCACCTCTAGGCGGGAGAAGAAGATGGAGAGGTTGAGGACCTTTTAACGGTCAACCTGGAAGCTGTATAGGAGGAAGCCCCAGAGGGAGGGAGAGGATGAAGAGTGGGGCCTAGGGCTAGAGGCTGAGGGCTCCCTCCTCGGGTGGTTACTTAAGAGAGAGAAATCGAGGCCAGAGGGCCAGCAGAAGTGAACATGTGACACCCCCTATCATCCGCCCCCACACCGAAACCATCATGGAGGCACCTCCAGTCTCTGGATTACTGAAGGCCCGTGGGCGTTTTTCCTCAGGTCTGGCCTTTGCCATGAGCTGAGGATTGAAGCCGGACTGCTTGTTAGGGGACCCCTTAATTCCCATCACCCCGACTGCATATTGCCCTCAGCCTACGAGGTCCCACAGTTTGTGCCCTCTTTTCGGCAAAGGATCTGAGATAAGGCTTGCTTAAGGAGCTTCAAAGAGAACCTACTTACCAAAGCATCCCGCTATGGGGGTCTGCACTGACCGTTAACCACGTGAGGGGGCGTGGCATGAGGGGCAGAGTGTCATTGGGTGGAGTCATCCAACAGGGTGATGAGGGCATGGGATGAAGGAGGGAAAGTGTATGGGTGAGGGGCTCAAAGAGAATAAAGACCACAGGGAGTCCCATCCCTACTGGTCAGTTTCAGATGCCATGCTTCTGCTCTGGAAACTCCTTCAATACTTGCTCACAAACACAGAATGTACAGGGCACTGGCCCTATAATCTTCCACTAAAAAGTTACCCTTGCCTCTTCATCTCTCAACAGGTTTGTAGACATGGTCCAGCAATTTCCACCTACTATTTAGAGGTCTTATTGAATCCCTTTAAATTCAGGTTTTCACATCGATACCATGGAAATGCACCACAAAGTATGGTAAGAAATAAATAAGATGATGTGCATAAAGAGCCTGTAATAGGTGCTTCATAAAGTTATATATCTTTATCATTGTTATCATTATGAAACAGATCATTCTTATTGACTTGCCCTTTCCTGACAGTACTTTCCATCCATAAATAGCACAGTTTTCAATACCTGATGTCAATAACTAAAATCTCAGAAAAATAGAACACAAGACTGTAAAGCTGGGTTTTTTAATTTAAATTTATTTTTTCTGAGCTTCAAATGCAGTTACAATTTAACAGGTCCATGTAAAGTGCTCAGTGCTTCTTTTTTCCTATTTTGCCAATCTTGGGGCTTGAACTCAGGGCCTGGACACTGCCCCTGAGCCTCTTTTGCTCAAGGCTAGCACCCTACCACTTAAGCCACAGCACCATTTCTGGCTTTTTCTGTTTATGTGGTACTGAGTAATTGAACCCAGGGATTCAAGCATGCTGGGCAAGCACTCTACCACTAAGACACATTCCCAGCATTGGTAGTAGTAGACTTTTTAAAAGCTATATATATTTCTTTTTTCTTTTCTTTCCTTCTTTTTTAACTTGTCCTGGGGCTTGAACTCAGGGCCTAAGTGCTGTCCCTGAGTCTCTTTGTCTTCAAGGCTAGCACTCTTCCCTTTGAGCAACAGCTCAAAATGTTTTTCTGAGTAATCTATTAGAGATAAGTAGTTCACAGATTTTCTTGCCAGGGCTGCCTTCCAACCACTGTCCTCAGATCTCAGCCTCTGGAGTAGCTAGGATTACAGGCATGAGAAAATGGTGCATGGCTGTTTATTTCTTATGTCTTAAGTAAAGTTTTCTTTTAGTATTCTTGTTTCAAATTATTTGAGTTAGATTCTTGTTTCTTTTCTTCTGATTCTTTTCTTCTATTATTTCTGTTTTCTTCATTTTCCTTTATGTTCCTTTGAAATTCTATTATTTTAACAAATAGAATAACAGAACTCCCATCCTTTGTAGAATAGCTAAAAATCTAAGAAGATAGGGCTGGGAAGGTGGCTCAGTGGTAGAGCGCTTGCCTTGCATGCCTGAGGCCCTGGGTTCGATTCCTCAGCACCACATAAGCAAAAAGATAAAAAAAAAAGCTGGAAGTGGTGCTGTGGCTCAAGTGGTAGAGCGCTAGCCTTGAGCTGAAGAGCTGAGGGACAGCGCCCAGGCCCAGAGTTCAGGCCCCCTGACCCCCCCCAAAAAAATAAAAATAAAAAAATCTGAGAAGATAACATTGATTAGCATGTATGTTTCACAATTATTAGACCTATGTCATAGGTTTATAGTCTTATATCCTAAATACTTTTACAAGAAAACAATTTTTGCTTTGAATAATATATTCACAGGTGATAGCCTGAGTTATTTTGTAGAATCGATGATGTGCTTTTGATTGCTGAAAATTAACACTGAAAGGTTTTATCAAATTGTACATTTCTTTGCACTTTCTGTCTGCTTCCTTAAATATAACTAAAGAAACCATATGACACATTCTACAACCATGTGCTTTTGAGTAAATGAGGACAATTGGCCAAAGTATGGCTTGCAGCTCTTTGGCAGAAGAAACTCAAATTGGCTAATGCACTTGAATATAATCTGGAGACATCAGTTAGGAAAATTATTTCACTTCAAATATGTTACTGATTAAATTTAATGTTTATATTAGTCATGTCTTCTGGAAGGAAAGCAACTAGAATACATGTATATCATGAAATAGACTTCCAAGAGAGTTTTAATTTTGAAATAATTTCCAGCAAAATGAAAAATGAAAAAATTAATTTTACTTTAAAATTAGAATTCAAATTAAATTTCTTTTAATTCTTATATCATTTACCATCTGAACATAAGCAAATATGAATTCTTGTGGTTAGTTGTTTCATTTATTTATAAAAATAGTTTAGGTCTTGCTGGGTGCCAGTGGCTCACGCCTGTAATCCTAGATATGCAGGAGGCTGAGATCTGAGGATCATGGTTCAAAGCCAGCCCGGGCAGGAAAGTCCATAAGACTCATCTTCAATTAACCACCAGAAAACCGGAAGTGGCATAGTGGCTCAAGTGATAGAGTACTTGCCTTGAGCTGAAGAGCACAGGGACAGCGCCCAGGCCCAGAGTTCAAGCCCCATGACTGATAAAAAAATATTGTTTAGGTATTGAAGAATGAAGGCCACACTTTATATTTTGTAATATTTTTATTATCCCTTAAAATAATGCTATGTATGGTGTATCTCCTTAATATACATTGCTTAGGAAAGAAGGAGTGGATGAATGAATGAGAGTAGAGAGAAAGGAAATGGATGGATTAAAAATTAAACAGTAAGGTAATGTCATAAACAGTAAAATAATACTATAAACAGCCACTAAAATTTTCATCTCAATTTAAATATCTTAATACATTTAATAGGTAAGAACAAGTATTTTCCATTAGAATTGAAAGGCTGCACTAGGCAAGACTTTATGCTAATTAATTTATTTAATCTTTTTTTGAATTTTTTTATTGTGAAAATACTGTACAGAAGGGTTACAGTTAGGTAAGCAAGGTAATGAGAACATTTCTTATCACGCATTGTTGCCTCCTCCTTTGTTTCCCCTTCCCCCCCACCCCGCAATTTATTTAATCTTTACAACTAAACTAGGCCTTGAAATCAGCTCTTTCAGACTCAGTGAAGTGTGGTGGTTATTAGAAACTTTTGCGTTAGTCGAATTTTTATTTAATCTTTATTTAATTGACTAATAGTTGTTTTACTTTGGGCTTAACACATCTGAGTTTGTTTTTTCTTCTTTTTTTATTGTGAGAATACTGTACAGAGGGGTTATAATTATTTGGGCAAGATAATGGTTTTTTTCTGTAAATAGATGTTGCCAAAATTAATTTATGTATAAAGAGCTCTTTGAACAATGCCTAGCACAAAATAAGTATTCAAATAATTCTACCCATTTTTTATTAAACTGAAGTTCAGAGAGGTTATGTAATTCAGCATCTGCAAATGAGCCAAGGGTTGAACCAAAGTTTACTTCACTACAGAGCCTATATTCTTCCCATAACACAGTCAATAACATGCTTCACTTAAATGTCATTTCAGATTAGCTCTGTTGAATAAACCAAAGAATGTTAATCATTGTACAACTTGAGGTAAAAGCAAAGCGGTTTCCTTTAAATATGAATAGAAAATGCAGGTCAGGTGCTGGCGGCTCACACCTGTAATCCTAACTACACAGGAGGCTAAGATCTGAGGTAGCGATTCAAAGCCAGCCAGGGCAGGAAAGTCCATGAGACTCTTATCTCCATTTAACCACCAGAAAAAGAGAAGTGGCTCTGTAGCTCAAGTGGTAGAGCACTAGTCTTGAGCTGAAGAGCTCAGGGACAGCGCCCAGGCCCAGAGTTCAAGCCCCATGACCAACAAAAAAAAAAATAGAAGACTTTTTAAAGAAAGAAAAATGTTATAATTTCAAAACAGAACTTAAAATACTTTCAAAAATTGTCTAAAGGTGAACATTGTACTTCAGATTTGAGGAGATCTTCTTTTGGGAGTTGTTTGACTCTATAATAGGAAGGCCAAGTACTTTTTGTTAGACTGCAAAAAAGCATTTGTTGATATTAAGATGGCATTTCAACCAGGTGGGCATGTGATGTGAATTTATCTCATTCTTTCTAGTTCCCTTTGCATTTTGTGTCAGGTGGACTCTTAACTGGAAGGATGCTGTAGTTCCAGATGAGAGTAGTAAATGCAAGCTTCATTTTGATGGTGAAGGATAAATTATATTCTCTCCCTTATTCCTTTCCTGTGTTTGCACAGGGTTATATTGTCAATACTTTTATGTAGTTATGTAGAAATATACTTAAACCCACTGCCTTTGTGTAAGAAACTGGTATTCTGTGTTATAATGATTTTGCATTTATGAAAGAAATTAGAAATAATATGATTGATCAGAGTGTAAATATTAGTAATTATCCTTGTGGACAACTCTTGTTATTCTGTTACCTATTTATAAAATATTATCAAAATCCCTAAGCCTTTCAAAGTGCTACAGATATATGAATATTCGAAATAGTGTCGTCAAATTTTAATTAACGTAGCATTTATTCAACATTGAAAACAATCATCATTTTCCACCTACTGGCATTTAGATACAAGTCTTACCTCATCAATATCCATGAATAAGGCATCTTTCTCATCGTCACTTTCTAAATCACTTGTTCTTTTGGTGGCTCTGGCTTCCTGTTGGCTATGTGGGAGCTCTACCACTGAGGCTTGCCTCCAGCCCTTTCTACACTGATTGTTTTTTAGATAAGGTCTATCTGCCTGCCTACTTATGTTCTTGGACTACAGTCCACCTACTTTAGGCTTCACATCATACCTTAGATGACAGGTATCCACCATGATAGCAAGGTTCTTTCTATGAGAATGGAGTCTCTTGGGTGTCTTGCCCTGGGATGCTTTGAACTGCAATTCTCCCAGTCTCAGACTCCCAAGATGATAGGTATGCCCCACCACACCAAGCTATCTGTTGAGAAGAGATCTTGTGAAGTTTTTTTCTACCTAGGCTAGCCTTGAAACTCAACCCTCCTAATCTCAGCCTTCCAAA